GGAGACATGTGGTTCCGTATTCCAGCTCAGATTCCCTCAGGAAGCTCTTCACAGACTTGGTTAGAAACTGTCCTGAAGTGAAACAGTTCTAGGAAAGCTACTTTCTTGTTCCATTTCCTGACACATACTTCTTCACGTTTATTAAAAATCTAGGTTAAAGATGTGAAGTCCCATCTTCACCTCCTCCCCACCCCAACCCCAGAACATCTGTACCAAATGATGAAGTCCGAAGGAGTGACCAAGATGTGCAAATGCTGAAGCAGAGGAAAATTCCATTTGGTGGAAGTATTTAGGTGATGGTTGCTGTGTCTGTGCAGCCATGGTGCATGGAGGGGGGTACAGAGGTAAAGGGGTAAGATGGCACAATCAGCTGCTGAATCCGGAAATGTCCCACTGGAGGGTTTAATCTCATTAACAAGAGCAAAGGGGCTTTTGTGCCTCCCCACACCCCAAATTCCTAACTTGACCTACTTATCCTGGTGACAGAGCCAGATAAAGTTATCTGAGTTAGCAGGCAAGCAGATGAGGGTCTTCATCTATGGGATTTAAAGGTCACCAAAAGCCCTCTCTGGATCAATGTCACCTGTCTTCCATGCCCTGAAGCCTACATGTTCCTCTTTGGGCCCTTTGGCTTAAGGCCCAAGGGTACCTACAGATGTGAGTTTTGAGTCACAGCCCGCACCTCTATCAGGCTCAAGGCAAACTGGTTGATCAGATGAACAAGAGGCAGGGAAGAGAGTGTGTCAGAAACACTACTGGCAGGGGTACCTGGGTGAGGGGCCTGGATAAGGACATCAGGGAGCACCCAGGGAGTCCAGGTGGGGAAAGAACTTGATGGGGGTGGGGGACACAGAATGGGGAGAGAATGGAGGCCAAAGATGACCATACACTGACCATGCACTGGTCAGTGACCTTCCAGTGCACACAATTCACAAATCACCATAAGTTATACATGTGCCAGTCTACCCAGCACATACCACAGTGGATTTAATCTTTGCATCAGATTAAAGGCCAAAGAAGTAGTGGGAACCCTCCTGGAAGCCACCCCTCCATCTCTGGGGTGGGCTTTGGGGTCAGTGAAGGAGAGCTCTATTATTAGCTCTCAGTTTTGGAAAAGCCTCATTTCCCTGTGAGTCAAAAGTCAGGTCTGAGCTGGACCTCTGTCCCCTACCACCTGTACATCCAGGGCTAAGATCTCTGAGCCTCAGTCTAGGCCAACGTACTTTTGTTGAGCCTTACTTATATACCAGGCATGGATTGCATAGGCCCAGGAAGGGGTGCAAAGAGCTCACAGATCAGTAAATGTCACCATCCTTTCCACTCCGTTATTGATAAAAACGAGAGCCTTGTATTTTCCTGACAGGTATCAAAAGAGAATGTGCCAGGCAATGCTCCATAAACTCAGCAGCCCTACAGAAATGATAGGACTTTTCCTGATAACGGACCAGGGTAGGGTTTCCTACATAGTTCTTTGAAGTGCGCACAGGGATTTTATTAAAATAAAAGCAATGTTCATAGTCATTTTTCTTCTACACATATTGCTTTGAAAGGTGTGCCATGCCTGGGGACTCAGGGAAGCTGCATGGGGTGGCTTGTGTACAAACCACATTTTGTACTCTCTGTATTTGGTGCTTTGACATTTGGGGCCTTGCTGACCTTGGAGAAACTGCTGCTTTCAGGGTTGGTCAATTCCTAGAAATAGGGTACGACTCACCTTCCAGTGCACCTTTCATAGGCAAACCAATCAATCTAGAGCCCACAGCCCAACCATATCCTTTATGGGGCTCTGACACTCTGGGCTACTATCCACTTGCCCTAATCACTCAGGTCCCTGAGAACTAGAGACAAACCCCTCTACCCAAGAGCCTACTAAAATTATTCAAACCCACCAAACTGAAGTCTGTTTATGCTGCCTCACTCAATCTTTTCTACAGAAACCACACTAGGAGGCTCCTGCCCACATCTCCTACTCGCCCTGCCTCTTGACCTACCCTGGTGCTTCCCCGTGTGGCCTCCACAGTGTCTTGTGCCCATTTTTAGAGATCTGTGAGCATAAACCCATTTGTTTTCAAACAAATCTTGGGTATCCTTAAAACAGCGTGGTTCACGGGTGCGGGACATCTGATGTGCATAGGGACGGACATCATGTCCCAACAGCATGCCCAGTGGCAGGGACAGGCCTGTGTGCTGCATCTACATGTTTAATTTCAACATAGATTTGCTTTGCAACATAGCAAAGCACTGGGGTTAAGGGTAGGAGTTCAGGGTTAGAATGTGCACTTCTGATTCTTATGTGCATCAGTTTCCTTCTCTGTTAAGATGCGACGATGCCAATGGTACCACTTATAAGGTTGGCGAGAGGATTCAATGAGATTATCAATGCAAAGACTGGGCCCAGGACCTGGGAGTTAGGAAGCACTCCTAAGGTGAGCTATTTTGATTAACCCATTGTCCAATGTTTATTAAGAAGTAAACCTACAAAATCAAATTTGAAGTATTTCTTACAGTATGTTAAACTCTGTTTTATAGGTAAAAAATAATTGAATGTTGGTGATTTCATAGGGTTCCATCTTAGAAATTCATTTCCCTCTGACATTTGTTGTGGTCTATTTTCATCCAAGTAAGAATGATATTTCAGGTTTTCCACAATTACATTTGGAGACTCTTGCCTCAGGAAAGCCCCCCTAACTCTGGTTTGTTCAACAGGCTCTGGAAAGACACTCTGGCACTCTTGGCTTTAAATTTTCCACTTTTCGATACTGTGTGTTTATAGCAGTAACAGTTTCCAAAAAAAAAGCAAAAAAAATCACACATAATTTCCACATATTCTTTCAGGCAAACAAACACTGTCTCAACGTGAAGTGAAAATAAAGCTTTGCTGGTTAGGAAAAAAAAAACCCAGGTATTCACAATGAAGTCTGCCTCTTTCCTTGAAACCCTTTAAAATGTGATAAGCGACAGGAAGCTTCAAAGTGATATTCAGCAGCATAGTAAGGGAGAGTTGTGGAAATGTAAATGAACAAAGGATGGGACTGCTGCTCGGCAGCCAATCACAGGTCGGTTCCTTAATTAAGCGGTGCGCCGTTGTCATGGAGACACGTGGGAGCAGCATCCCAGAATTTCCACAGTCTTGGCACTCCGGGGGGCCAGGGTGCCTTCCCCTTCCTCGCACGCAGACACATGGGATGTTCTGCTATTCCAGCAGCTGGCACGATGGCCACAGCACACATTTTAAGCAAATTGCAAACCAGTGCTTATATTAATTCAAGAATAAAGCTGTAGGAAGGAGCACCATTAACGTGAGGAGTACCATTACGATTCCTATGGAATGGCACTTAGTATCACAATAGGGTAGTGTTTCTCAAAGTGCATGACCCCTTTCATCAGAGCCCCAAGGTTCTTTCCAATTGTACAATCCCAGCCCCACCCTCAGATCTCCTGAACTAGAATCTTCATTTTAACAAGGTGCCTCACCCAGTGAACTCTGCACCAGGGCTGGCATCATGCTGGGTGTTCTACCAGGCGTCTCATAGGTCAATTTCTTGAGCTAGGCAGCCCAACCAGCTACCATTTACTTGTGTGGTTCATAAAACATTCATCTCTTGAGGTTTAGGAAAGCCTTTCAGATGAGTCGGGTTAGGCACGGTCAGGCTTTGGCTTTATCCTGTTTGACCCAGATTTAGGGCCCCACTTGTGAAAGCTGACCTGTCTTCACTTCCAACCACTTAGGAACCCTGTTTGGGTAGGTTCCCAAAGGGCCCCAAGTTAGCCAAGGAGCCCATCATCCAGGCACGGGCCCTGAACGTTAGGCTTGAAAATCACTTCGGCAGGACCAAAGTGTTTAGCATCTAGTTCAGGCTTTTAGACAAAGTATGTATATTTATGCAAACAACATACAAGAGAGGATTGTTTGAGGGGGAAGGAAAGATCCTGGTTAGCTTCAGCATTAGGACTCGGGGCCATTATGTTGGCAGATTCTAACGGAAACTCTGGGTCTAATTTGGTGGGTAAATGGACTCCATCATGGGTCCAGAGGCTGCCCAAGCAGGGGAGCCATCAACTCCCTGGTGTCTCCACCTGCCCACCCATCATTTCTGTGCCTCATCTTCCTGTCTCTTTTCCTTTGGTATTTTTCTCTTTTCCTTCCCTCTCTCTCTCCCATCCCTGTCAACTCTTCCTTCTGTTTTTCCCATCTTTGTGGTTTTATGAAATGTCAGATCATTCAAAGTGGTTTGTTTTGTGTTGAGGTTTGAGGAGTGAAGCAAACAAAAGGCAGGCCTTTCTGTGCTGGGCTCCACAGTGGGGCTGTGGGCTGGGGACTGTACTTCGGAATTTCCACCACCAGGCCTGCCTTCCCATTTTCCCAGGGTCAAAAGGGAAACTGAGGGTGTCAGTCTAGTTTAGAGGTACAACCAGAGCTTGGACCATTAGTTATCTAGATAATTTCAGAGAGTAAGATTTTACACTTGGCTAATCTGCTTCATAATCCATCCAAATGTGGATTTTTCTGGCTCCTCATAAAACGGCCACTTTCCGTGCATTAGGGTCAGAGTGAGCAGAAGACCTATGTGCCAGACCCATGAGAACATGCTCACAGCAGGTTCTGGAAAAAGGAGACTAAAGATGCAAAAACCAAGGTTATGGATCTTCATGTCACAGTGAAGCCCTGTTTGGCTGTGTGTAGGCTGAGCCTGTTCTTTATTAACTAGAAGCTGTTTCCCACAGTACAGAACTATTCCATCAGCCTGAAAATAAATACACGAATAAAGTGCATTTCAGTGGGACTTTGTGCACCGGCATAAACAAGTGTGGGAGTACGTTCTTCTCAAACGGGAGACAGCATTTACGAGCACAAAATGCATCTTGGGAACACGAAAATCCAAATGCAAATATGAAAAGCACGTATTCTCACTCCTCCTCCCTCAGGGATTCTTATGCCCCCGTGTGCACGTTTGCATGATAAAAGACACTGTCGCAATTATATGACAATTAAAGCTTACCATTGTTGTAAGAGCGAAAATTTCCTACAAATTTTATGTATTCATAAGTTGGAAATTCCTTTGGGTTCAAGCTGCCTCTGAGAAGATGGCAATAAAACTCTAAATCGTTGTCAGCTGGGCCGTTAAAGGAAAAAAAGAAAAAGGAACATGAATATGACACAGATTCTAGACTAAACAAGTTTATCTTTGTGTAACTCATGGGCTTTAGTCTACACATGGCCAGGACATTTCTCTCATTATGACTGACTTTTGGACATGGTTTTATAACCTTTGCAGAATAGGGGGTTTTCCCCCATAGTCTATATGGATATTTTTGCATTCCGTACTTCGGCCCAATTAGTCTTAATTTGCTCCCAGATGTCTGTGGTTGCTTATGTCGGCATTGATTAGTTCTGGTTGTTTTCATATGGTGTATTAAAATAAAGCTGCTCATATAGAGCTGCTCTCTTTAATTTAATCTTTTCACAATGCTTTGAAGTAAAATCAGATATACAACAGGACAAATTATTCATGGAAAATGGACTAAGGCTTGAACAAGCACGAGGCACTTGCGTTACCTCCATCTACGTACATGGTTCAGCAGGCACCGAGGCCGCCCTTTCCATCCAGGTTGCCAATTTTGAGAAAAACTAAAATTCCATAAAAACTGGAAACGTATAGAAATAACCAGATGACAGCCTCGGGAGAGGAGAACTTGGCGTTTTGACCTAATTATTCAGTTTTCAGTTGGATACTTGGTTATTATATACATCTAGCTTTACAGTGCCCTCTAAAATAAGCAAGTCGACTGTTCCCTGATTTTTTGCAGTGTTGATTACCAAAAGACTCTCATGTTAAAAAAAAAAAAAAGAACTTGTATCACAGGCAAAATGAATTCTTATTCTTAAGCACCATGCTTTCAAATTTTCCACAGAGAAGCTAAATGCCATATGATTCTACTACATACTACTACTACATAAAACTCTAGTTTTAGCTTTAAATTTCAAATAAAATATACCTCTAAGGACTTTGGAAATACTCTGAGTCACAAGGAAAGCTGCTCTTAAAATTAGTTCTCCCTCTCTTAATTCATGCTAACCTCCTTTCCAAAGTAAAATTCTTATCTTTGTATCTTGTAAAACCAGTAAAGGTAAACTTACATTTTAAGTATTCTGGGGAGGGGGAATCTGTCACAAGCATATGGGAAGAGAGCATTTTATAAACTTCTGAATGTTCTTGTTCTGGAAGAAAATTTAACAAATTCTGATCCATGACATCTGACTGAAAAAGAAAATAAAGAACAAAGGTACACACTCAACGAAGATGAAAAACAAAAGCAAAACCAAAACCTGGACATTCAGGACCATTTAGAACTGATCTCTGAAATGAAAAGTCCAAGATCTGATTTTCCACAAAGACTCTCAGTTCCATCACTCTGTAATCCTGGATTATAATCTAGAACATGTCACTTGTTCCAATGCAAATGTGCTATGGTATTGCCCAAGGGCCCACGAGAAAAGGTAAGAGTTAAATTAGACAAATATGCAGACAGTCCCACTCTTCCTGGAGGAGCCCCACCTACCAGCACTCCTGTGTTCTGGCTGGGGCCCCCGTGTGAGCCCTGTCACTCGTGTGAAGGGTTGTAAAGAATGTGTGGGGTTCCTTTTCTGACCCCCATTTCCGAATGCCTGCTTACTTCTTAAGATCCCTCCAATCGAAGGAACTGCACTTTTTTTCTGAGTGCTTGGGCAATGTGCATACAAAATGAATAAGATGTAGAGTCTAGATATAGCATTGTCCAATACAACTGTCTGTGAAGATGGAAATGATCTATAATGTGCGCTGTCCCTTACAAGAGCCACCAGCTACGTGGCTATGAACACTGAAATGTGGCTGGTAGGACTGAAGACTGAATTTTTAATTGTATTTAATTTTAATGATTTTAATTGGAATTTAAATAGCCACATGTGGCTAGTGGTTCCCATAGTGGCTAGTGCAGGTGGAAGCTCACAGAGGAGAAAGAGAGAGAAGACAGGCACGTCTCTTGCTGCCTTAGTCTCCCTCGATAAACTCATGCTTTCATACATTTTTGAAACACGACCTGCAAACACTCTTAAATTTGTATATCCAGGCAACTCTCTGTTGTGTGCCCCTGAGAAGCTGAGATTCACATGCATACCTAATGTCCTCATTCTTTTGCACCCATATGTCCTCTTCCCTCGAGCTCAATGTCCCGATGCCCGGTATTGCCAATTGGTCACTTGCCCATCCCAGACACCCTGGTGGCATTCTCAACGTCTCCCCTTCTCACCCTCATCTTCACATCCAAATGATGTTCAAGTGCTGTGAGACGTTCCTCCCTCAAATTCTCTCAGATCTCCTCACTTCTCTTTATTTCCATGGCCTCAACCCCCAGTCTAGATCACCATCATCTCTTATCTGGGGAATGAACTGACCAAACTGGTCTTCCCACATCAACTTTTGTTCCTGTCCAACTTATTCTCCATCAGCAGCCAGAAGGAGCCTTGTATCATCAGATCAGGTCACCCCCTTGCTTAAATCTATCTAGCGGCAGGGCACCTGGCTGGCTCAAGCCGTACAGCATGTGACTCTTGATCTCAGGGCTGTGAGTTTGAGCCCCATGTTGGGTGCAGAGCTTACTTAAAGACAAAACAAAACAATACAAAACAAATCAAATACTGTCAGTCAGCTTCCAAATGCTCCCATGACAAAGTCTGAACCTCCCCATTCACTTCTGAGGCTGCGTACTACCCACCCTCTAAACTCCCTTCTTTCCAGTCTACCAGGTTTGCTCTTCCCCATGCTGCACCCTGAGGCTGGGACATCGTGCACTGCTCCTTTTGTCTGGCTAACTTTTGTGCATCCTTTAGGTCCCTGCTTTGAAGGCACTGCTTCTGAGAATGCATGCATAAATGCCACCCTGACTGCTGTGGCTCTGGCCTCTGAAGCCCCTTACTGTGTGCCATACTGAAACCGCTGGTGAAGGGCAAGTCTGCCTAGACCACACTGGCCTGTGTCACGACAAGGTGAGGAGAACCCTAGAGGTTGGGACTGAAAGCTGGCCCTACCCCCTCAGGGCTGCGCTTTGCTCAACCCAAAGAGAAGGAAGCCAGGAGCTACTGGTCAAAGGGCACAGAGCAATCACTCAATGGATGCTCAGTGTGATTAAGTGTTTAATAACCCTTTAAGAAAGTTCTTGAAGTTTTCTTGTTCATTCACATGCTGATGTGTATCCTCTGCCTGCCCCATCCAACAGGAGCCCCAGGAGAGTAGGGGTCCTGTCTGCCTTCATCTTGATATGCCTGACATCTAATGGTGCTTGGCCTTAGAAAAAAAAATGCATTAACTAGCTGAAAGAAGTAAAAGGAGTAAAAACAAGACACCCCTAGAACACTGAGCTTGGTGTGCTGAATCCAATCACAAGGACCGAGAGGCTTTCAGGGAACAATTCCCACAGGCAGGGATCCTTGAGTGGGATCTGGGGGACAAGATGGCATCTTCAGGGCAGCCAGGGTGCTCTAGGCAGGGGGCACAGCATGCACAGAAACATCACAGGGGAGGGAGGAGCAATGGAGGCAGGGGTTGCAAAGGGAAGTGAGGCCAGAGCAAAGAAGGTTGCAGAAGAGAGAGTGCCCTGTCCTGTGTGCCTGGGATGGGGAGATGGAACCCACTGAGGGCCTAGAGGAAGGCACTGTACCAGTGCTTTAAAGAAATCCCTTAAGGTTTCTAGTCTGAGGAGGGAGGGAGCACAGGAAACCAGGCTAGAGATGGTCAGAGTCTGAGTAGGCACAGGGAATGGGGAGATGTAATGCACAGGAGAAGGGAGAGTCCAAACAGGTCATTCAACAGCATAATCCACCCAACACTGAGGGCTACTGTGTGCCTGCCAGCCACTGCCTTTGGCACTGGGAAGAAACACAACAAAGGCAAGCCCCTTCCCTCTTGCAGCCAGCATTCTAGAGGCTGTGAGGAAGGGAGATACCAACTTGGTGGCTGATGAAGGACAGGAGGAGGAAAGGGAGGGACTCCCAGCTCCATTGCACCCTGGCTTGGCTTGATCTCTATTGGCAAAGACTCTGCAAACCCTTCACTAGCCTGTGCTATCATTTTCTCATTCAGGCTTTCTCCAAGTTCCTTCTGATGTTCTTGATTTTATTGTAAGCGCATTCCCTTTAGTTTTTTAGATGCTGACTAATGCTCAAAGACAACAGTATTCTTTCTTCTTAAAGACATTTCAGATACAAGAAAATGATGACGAAGTCACTCCATGGCCTTTTCTTGGAGAGCCAGGTGGAAACCCCTTCCCCTGATGTATGACAGAGAGCAGGGTTACAGGGCTACCTGACCTTGTTGCTCCTGTGGAAGGCAGTTGGCAGGTCACAGGGCTGTGGGGGCACCTCAGGCTACAAGTTCTGCATAGAATAAAGGTGAACCCTGGATGGAGATTGGTGGGAGGGGGGAGGCTGTGAGGATTATGAGTCAGTACACGCACGAAAAGGGCTCAGAGCTGTGCTTGGCACAGAGCAAGTTCTTTCTCTCTTCACTGTTATATTACTATTATGCCATTTCAACATGACAACCAACACAAACAATGATAATTTGAAAATTTAAACCCTAACGCTTACCGGAGAGTAAATTATATATGCAATTGAACTGTCCCTTGAATGAGCTGAGCTCTGCTTATTAAAATGACAGCAATTACAGAGACAAGGGAGGGCATTTGCCATCTGCAGCTATCTTCATAGCTGAATCACAGTGTCTAGAACATCATTTACCTGTTGGAGGTGGAAGGTTCTCATTCTCAACTTACTGGGATGTCCTTGGCTGCTTTATCAAGAATCTTTACCAAGAATACTTTCAATACGAATGCCTATTCCTAAATTCCAAATTGCATATCTCCCATGTTTCTTCTTGGGGCCCCATGGGGGCCTGGGGATGATCTGGAAGCGCTTCGGGAGGCAGTGAGGCATTTTCCTCTCTCCCTACAAACCAGCAGCACCAGATTAGTCCTACCCAGCAAAGTTAAGTGAGAGCCTGCACAGGGAGCACACAGAGGGTGGCCAGCTGAGTTGGAAATGAGCTGGGTGGACACTCTGTCCAGCAATGTCCAAAACGGGCCCTGGCAGTTCTGGCTGGAGACGTGTTGGCCACAATTGCAAAGGGCAATTGTGGGAAGTCCTGGAGAAGCTTCATACTGCGAAGAGGCAGGAATGAGCTCAGGGAAGCAGTCAGGCCCTTGATCTCCCTAAGGGGCCAGGAAGCTGGAAGCATAGTCGATATGCTTTGATGCAATTTAGATTCGGAATCAAACTGATGGCCAAACAGTAATGCTTTCAGAAGACAGCACTGCAAGTGGCTTTGACCTTAGAGTAGTGAAGAATTAATTAGGGTATAAAAGGTACCAATTATGAAGAATCTCTATTCATGAAAAGAACTGAGAGAGGGAAAGGTAAGCCACAAAATGAGAGAATATGTTTGCAACACACACACCATGGTGTTAAGTCCTAAAATTAAGGTTCAGTGTTAACTGCCGCCTCGTCACCTGGCAAAATCAGGAGGGCCTTGATTTTGCACAACTGAAAGTTCTCCTTCACACTCTGGCTCCATGGATAAGGTCCCCTAGCTAAACAGTGCTCCTTATCAAGGGGGACAGGCACAGTTCTTGCTCATCCCTGACTAGAGGGTTTAGTTCCCTGCCAGCCTGTGGAATTATTCAAACAAGCCAGTCTCACTCGTGTGGGGATCAGGGAGTACCTCACCCCCTTGTTACTATGAAGCCTGCTTCTCACAGCCCCTGCTGGTTCACTGTTCCAGAGCGCGGCCCTGTGTGGCCGTGCGTCCTCGCCCTCCAGGTTGTAAACATATGTGACTTAAACAGCTATTGAGCTCACGTGTCCAGTATTGGGTGTTGTGTGTTCCACCGAACCTGTATCCCTACGGCAGAGTGAGTAGGAGGCAATTCAAATGACCCCTAACACAGGACGAGTATTGAGAACATGGAAAGAATGCTTACAAATCATTACAAGAAACAAACTAGACAATCCAGTAGGAAAATGGCAAAATACCTGAACAAGCACCGTGTTCACAAAAGAGGAAATCCAAACGGCTAACAAACGTATGCAAAGATGCTCCATCTCATTAGCAATGGGGGAGAGACACAAATCAAAACTCCATGAGATGCCCTCATGCATTAGGTTGGCAAACAGTAGGAAGCACGACAATCCAAGTTCTGTGGCATGGAGCACTTGGAACTCAACTCT